ATAAGTGTAAGAGCATGAATAGGGAGAAAGAGAGAGAAGAGATGAAAAAGAGATTATCATAATAAATGTAGAAAAAACCTATATGCAAAACAAAGAACACAGAAAACGAAAGACAACAAATTGATATGTTCAAAAATCGAAGATTACATCAAGACGTAATTCAGTTGCGAAATGCAATAAGGAAGAGAACTACAAACCCGGTATCATAGATTACCCTCTGTGGATTTCTCAAGCAAGTTTCTCAATACGGTTGTATCGTTCGTTTGATTATTATTATTATTATTATTATTGGATAAAAACGTTCTATCCGTATTATTTTCTCCGTCTCCGTGCGCTTTTCGTTCATCATCACCATGTCTTTCATCGTCTTTTGGAGGTTTCCAACATCGACACAATTTTCCAAATGGGATATCTCCAAATTTATCAATTGGACCAAGAAAACTGCATAATGGTAGAAAAAACCATGTCGCATACAACCAACTAGTGAACATAATTAACATTAGAAAAAAGCCCATTTGTGAGAAAGCTGTCAATTTCGATGGAGCCATACTAACACCAGCTAAGAATGATGTAAAACCTAGACAATTAAACGAAAGAACATTCGAGCAAAACATCAATCTATTCTTAACATTAATATATTTACCTGCCATAAACACGGCTGAACCAACTCTTGTTAAACTTTTTTTAACTCGACGAAAACGTTGTTCATTTCCATTATGATGCCATCGATAGAAACGTTGAAATTTTGAAATCTTTTTATTATCCGGAACAATTTTAACATGATGATTAATTTTGTTATTCTCATTTGGTAAAAGTTGTAAAGTTTGATCACCGTTTGCTTTCATCTGCATGTCAGACGCTTTGATTGTGCCCACTTCACCTTTTTTCATGTCAACTAATTTAACGGATTTCAATTTAACATGATTCTTTTTCCAATCAGCTTTAATGTAAGCTACTCCGTAATGAACCGTGAAATCAACACTGAGACCAACACTCATGATGATAATTATTGTCTCTAAAATATTTAATTCCCATCCGATTAAAACAAATACGGCCACCGTATTGCTTATAATAAAGATAATTGTTATCATTGCATATAATGTTATTAGAAGATTGCCAGATGTCAATAATAACACAACCAAAGCAAATAACATTGAAAATATGAGTGATGTGTATGTTCCACGTATAACTTCACGCATTAAATCATAAAATAAAAATTGGGGTGATACAAACCAACTAAAATAAACGAAACACAATTAGTCTGAGAGAAACATTTCATTCATTACACAAAACGTAGTAACAAATAATTTTTGGAATTAGAAATGACAATGGATCTTTGAAATGAAGCATATTTTACTTACCCATGTTTTAACATCTCATATAATTCCAAACTAGATATATCCTCCTTTGACGATGGACTACTCAATTTGATATTTTCTAATAGTTGTTGAAAATAATCATTCAGTTTTCTGTAATATATGTCTTGTGTCGAATAATTACTAAATGTACAATTCATGTTAACAATGAATATAAACGCTTTGATTTTTTTCATTTGATCAGGTAAAAATCCAATACGAAAGTTTTGTTTAATCGTTGAACTTGCTTTAATAAAAGTAATCAATCGTTCTATGGCTAATACTGTTTGATTTCGTGTCGGTGGAATAAAAAAGTCTTCTGAATCACTTTTAATTGATAATTCACTTATATTTGAATTAATGAAACCATGTATTAATCGACCTAAAAGTGAAAAGAAAGAAAAAATGACTTTCAGTTGTAATTCATAACTGATGTACAACTATCCATTTCGCCTTTTGCCTACATTATAATGATTCTTAGTTCGTGCAAATATTGCAATATATTTACCTAGCGAAAGCCAGTCAGAATATGTTTCTTCTACATTAACAAATAAATCACTTTGATTTAATTCTTTAAGAAAATGATCAAACCATTTTAATACATTTCGATCATACAAATCAATTTTATTATTGTACACTAATTGATGTTGCTTTTTTGATTTAGTATCATCAGGATAAAATGGATGTGTTGTATCTGTGTCATCAACACCCCATATAAATAGTAACGGTGGGTTTGTAATATTTTCTTTATCTTCATTGATATAACTTAAAAATTGATCACGCATATGATATTCAAATTTTTCCATTGGATGTTCAATATCAAAAAATTGATATCGTCGTGATTTTGGTGGGGATAATTTTGGTTTATAAAAAACAATAATCAAACCAATAATACCACAGGTAAGAAAGAAAAGCATGAATAAAAATCGTAATTTAATGATTAATTTCGGTATATAAACAGTAAATAATTTATGATTCAAACGTGTCAAATGTAACATAAATGCATCGACAATATTTGTAAATTTTGAAAAATTTAAACGAGCTGATAATGGTTCACATAATTTTTCATAGATAATAACAAATGCAACAATCATTGTAATGTTCATAAGAAAGTTAAACAGAATACAAAAGCCCATAAATAATCCAAACAATTGTACATAAGCAATACGTGTAATCAAGTTCGTAAAAAAAGCGGCACTTGTTGTAAAACTTGTCACAAATACGGATGCCGCTGCGTGTCTTAATACGCCACCCATCATTATAATCATTTGTTCGTCGTTAACTTTCATCATCCGTATTAGTGCATTATTTTCAATGTGATCGTCATGATCATCACCATTATTTATCATCTCATTTGTTGTATCCTTGGTATTCCCATTAGTATTTTCACGCATTTTATTTTTTAAAGAGTAATAAATATTTTCTCGATCACGACGATACTGTAGTTCTTGCTTTTTTGTTAATTTACCATAAAAATCAATTGTACGATTATTTAATCTTGCCTCATTATAAACATCTAATTTTTCTGAATACCACGCATCAAATATAACAAATACATTGTCACAACTGATACCAATCAAAATAAATGTTGCCATTAAATTGATGTAAGGAAATATATCAATACCTAATACAATTTTATAGGAAAAATAAGCACACGCAAAACTAAATAGTACACATATATTTGCCATTAAGGCGACTGTTATCGATCGTAAATACAATATTGTGACCTATAGGAGAAAAAAGAGAAAAAAAAGAGTATAATTTCTATGAAATAATATATGATAGATTAATTTTTATTTATTTACCGCTATAATCAATGTAATTGCTAATATAACAAAAAACATGTCCACTCGTATCTGCTTCATTGCCGTTGGTATTCGTATGTCGAGAAAATTAAGTCCAGAAAGACGTGTATATTCATCATCAAATCTTGTATTACGATAGAAATATTTCAAAAATAAATTATACGCAAAATTAGTCGTATGCATAGGTGTTTCAATGACTGTCGTGTTTATCTGAAAAGGAGCCATCACTGATGAGGAAACTGATGCTGTAGCGGTCGGCTTAATAAACCACATGGCAGTATATTTTGTTGTATTTGATCTATAAAATGTTTTATCTAACAAATATTCTAATGAAATAAATGTATAATTATAACGAAAACATGAATCATAATCAAATAGTTCTAATGGTTTATTTTTATAACGTTTTAAACCGACTTCTCGAAGAATTCCCAAATCGTGTAATTGCTTACAACGTTGAAGTCGATTAAGAAATGTTTCAATATCATTGTCTGTTAAATCTTCACAATCAGATTTATCATTAAAGTAAGCGATCATTTGTGGTAATGTATAATGACACGTTGAATGGAGTCGAAATATATCAAGTAATTCATTTTGCTTTTTACATAATGATTGTAACGATGGTAATGTGAGAAGATTACGATCAGATTCATTTGTTGATTCAAAATAAACTTCATAATGACGATCTAGAATAACAAATATCAAGTTAGAATAGTTCATATTTTGTTTTGGCGAACATACTTAGATTTATTGATGTACACATCTGATGTGAATTAAACAACTTTTGCTGAATTGGTCTTGAGAGCGTAAATAAATCGATTTCATCTTTCAATAAACTAAAAACTTGTTCGTTTGACAAACATGACGACAACTTTTGCCCACTGATAGTCGTATAAGCACATCCTTGTCGATTATTTACTAAATCATTTTTTAAATTTTCTATTAATTTTGTACCATCGTTTTCCTCCACAACATCATCGTAATCATCATCATCATATGGAGGTATAGGACGTATTGTTGAAGTTTCAACTGTCTCACTATTTGACTTGGACATTTGTCCTTGCAATTCTTTATGTAATCGTTCCAATACAAACAATCGACTAGTAAGAGTATGTTTCCCTCGGGGAACAAAGCCCTAGAAACAAATTGAAGAGACAATGAAAAGTTAATAGAAGATGTTTAGTCAAGATTCACTAGCACAAACTAAAAGCATTTTCCCCACTGAAATCCTCTCTTATGCAACAAAGAGTGCCAAAAACGAATGGCTTGCTCTTAAAGTTTATTTATGTTTAACTGACTAACTTTAGTTGGATCATTGAAATCGGGTAAATCACGATTGATAATCGATGCTAATCCCAAAACAATACATATAACAAATCCAAGGATTAAAAAGCACCAACTGTACCGCACAACAAGCGTCGAGTACCTAAATGTACAAAAACAAATGAATTTAACGATTGTAATATTTTCACAGTAAAACAAATAAGCTGAATCTAATCTACTTTAGTTCTTTTCTCAATAAGCAACATATCCAATAAAATAAACTAGTCCTTTCTTTTCTGATGGTATTCAAAAAGAGCAGTTTTTGTTTATTATATCCTTCGACCTGTACGTACGCAAGGGAATAAATTTTATATCAACTTAATGCTTATCAGTTATAGATCTCAAATTAATAATAGACTATCAGTTATAAACATAGCTTTCGACCTTTTAAGCCAGTCAGCACTCAAGAACACGTCATAAAAAACGTGTCAAGAAAGTCACATTTTATTTCAAACTTTTGGATCATATACTTGGTGTCATTATCAGATGGTCGAGAGATAATGACACACTTTTGTTTTTAGGTTTCTTCGTAGATATTCATCGACTAAGAATGTGCGCTTAAGCTTATTTGTTGGAGAATTTAATTTCCTACAAAACCGCCTTAGAATAGAAATAGAAGACCATCTTATTTTCTCGATAAAAATATGAAAACTTTGAGTATCATCAAGATGCATCCAAAATTTCTTATATCCAGCTTTCTAGTCTTCCATTTTCATTTGAAACTTTAACCTAGAACATTTAAAGTATCATCAAAAGATGCACAATTTTACAAGGAACTTATTACTCGATCAATACCGACGAAGAAGCTTGAAAACAAAGGTGTGTCACATTATTCTCGACCATTCGATAAATTAACATTTTCTGAGTAAATTTCATTTCCGAATCTTCAGATGTACCCATGG